AATTATAGCTTCAAAAGAGATACATATACAATAAATTTAGGCTAGGGTTATGGTTATGGTATAGCCAAGTCTAAGGATAGGGATAAAGTTTGGTGTAAGATTAGTGTAAGGACTAGTTTTGTGGCTAAATGTTGTCTTTCAGTTAGGGCTATAGCTAATATGTTGGACTAAAGGATCAGGGTAGTGTTGAGGTCAAGAAGAGACGTTTAACATTAGTATATATTCTACTATTTTACCGCAACTATTTTATCTTCTGAACAAATCCTATCTATCTATCCTTCTATCTATCTAAATCTATCTGTCTGTTTGTCTATCTATCTATCTATTTATCTCTATAAAATATCTGGAAACCATGTACATCAAGACCGGAAACTACTTGGAATGAATAAAGGATTCCACCCACAATCCACCCAGAGACTGCACACCAGCCAGCTGGATGAAGCCAGGGCCTGATCAGGGGTGGACTGAGAACCCTCAGGGCCCCCGGGCAAAATAAATCAAGGGCCCCTGTAACTGCACCCCCAGGCATAAAAGGGGTTAAAAGCCATTTAGTAGATCTTCCCTTCCAGAGACACAGGCACAGCTACTGCAGAACACCAAACTCCCAAACTGGATACAAGGGAATGCTTCAAACTCCCGAACTGGAACCTCACGAATAGCTGCTAGCAGCTGAACAGGAAAAGCACCCAAGCGGCTTACACTCCTGGCAATCAGTCTCTAACAGCATACAGTAAATCCCCCCTAGAACGAGACAAAGCTCCGTGTTGAGGGTCAAGCAGTGAACAGAGAGAGCTGTGGGTTTATTGTTCTTATATACACATTATTACACATTAGTACCACCCACAGGGTTTTGGAAAACAATCAATAAACACGTACAATACACTCAGACACTCCACCACAAAATCCTCCCCTCTGCCTGTGATACAATTACCTTACACAATGGTTAATGTAATTATCACAGGCAGAGAAATACAGTTTTTCCACATTATTCATAACTTTAAAAGTATGCATCACATTCACATAAAAATTTTCCGAATCAGCATACTCCAAATACAAACATACGTTAAAATCATACAAAATCAAGCGTTTCAACATGGGGTCATAGTCTAAAGGCAGCAGGCGGGCAACCAGGCTCCTCCAATGCACAGTGGCAAGATTGGTCTCATCACACCCCCCTTACAGGCCCCACCCATGCTCCGCAGCAAGCCCCACCCTTGTTCCACCTCCAGCCACACTGTACACAATCTTTAGACACATGGAACAAAAGTGCAATAATCCCCTCGAGGCCCCAGTAAAGACTACAATTGAGGGCTAATGGAGGGGGGGTCTTTCTAGCAGAGGCTATCTCAGTGTCCTTTATAGAGTGTGTTAGAAAGAATCCCCTCCAGGCCCCATTAGAGACTACAATGGAGTCTAATAGGCTTGGAAAGAGGTCTAGTCAAACCGTTTAAGAACATTTTGAAAACTTATCTGGGGTCTGCTGGGATATGGGGCTGTAGTAGGGTATAGGAGCAGTGGTGCAATGTGTGAGGGGTGCAGTGTGTGTGAAAGGTTCAGTGTGTGTGTGTGTGTGGGGGGTGTAGTGTGTGAATGTGTAGGGTGTCTGGGGCAATGTGTGAATGGGGGGGCTGTGTATGTGTGTGGCAATGTTAGTATGGTGGACTGTGTATGGGGGTCTGTGTGTATGGGTGGGTAGTGTATGTGTGTGAGGCAACGTGGATGGTGTGTGTGGGGGCAGTGTGTGTGTGGGGAGGGCAGTGTGTGAATGCCAGGGCTAGAGGTCACTCTCGCGAGAGCCGGAACCAGAGGAGCTGCAGGCTGAGCTCCCGGGTCCTCTCTTCCTCCCTCCCCTGCCGGCTGCCCACACGGTACCTGCAGACCGGGGGGAGAAATCGGCCGGGGGGGATCCACCAGTGATATTTTTGTGCCTTTTTGTCTCCCACTTTGCCTCTGTATGTTTCTTTCTCCCCCTCACTGCTCCTCTGTGTCCATTTCTCCCCTCTCCGTCACAGTCTCTCTTCCCCATCTGCCTCTTTCTCCCCCTCCCCTTGTGTGTCTCTCTCCTTTCTCCCTGTGCCTCTCTTCCACTGTCTCTTTCTTCCCCCTTCCTGTGTCTGTCTCTAATCCACATCTCTCTCTCTTACCCTCTGTCTCTTTCTCCCCCCTCCATCATCTCTCTATTCCCCCTCTTTCTCCCCCTGTGTCTCACTCTTCCCCCTCTGTCTCTTTCTCCCTCCTTTCCCTGTGTCACTCTCTCTCCCCCTCTGTCTCTTTCCCTACCCTCCCCCTGTGTCTCTCTTTTCTCCCACTTTCTGTTTCTTCTCTCTTCCCCTGCTTCTATCTATTCCCCCTCTCTGTTTTATTTTCCCATCTCCCATTTACCAAGAGAAGACAGAGGGGGCCGGCCGCGTTCCACACTGGAGCCGCCGGGCCGGGTGGCAGCCTCGGAAGGAGGGAGGAGCATGTCTCTCTCTCATGCTCCCTTGCAGTTCCCACATCCTATGCTGGGAATTGTGGGAACCACAAGGGTGCATGAGAGAGAGACATGCTCCTCCCTCCTTCCGTCCTCAGCATTAGTGACAGGAGTGCCGCCGGACCAGCGAGGCTGCCACCCGGCCCGGCGGCTCCAGCGTGGAACACGGCCGGCCCCCTCAGAGTGTGCCACCAGACCGGCCACCCGGAGGCACCTACTTCCGCAGTTCCCAGATGCCTCGGCCCCGGTGGGCCAATCCAGTCCTGCCGCCGGGCCCCCTGAACGCGGCCCCGGCGGCGGGCCTCCCTCCCGGCCGGGCCCTCGGACCATGTCCGAAGTGCCCAACCGGTCAGTCCGCCCCTGGGCCTGATTATTATCAAGGCTACAGTCTTGGGTAAAACACAGGGGATCCACAAGTACATCATGAAGATGATTGTCAAAGATTAACTGCAAGGATCCAACAACAGATAGAGGATGCAGGAAGACGTTCACTGGCAAAAGAAACCTCTGCATAAGATGAACCACTAGCAGATAGTGGATGTGGTTCACATTATGAAATCCTATCAGTTGTTGAAAAAAATCAGGAATGAATGACAGCACTGATGTGCTAATCACAGCAAAGCGGGAACAGGCACTCTGCAGCACATCAAAAAAAGCAGGATCTACCACACCAGATAGGACCCAAGCTGCAGACTGTGCAATGAAGCACATAGTGGGCAGGTGCAAGCCTAAAAGCAAGGACAGCGTACACTGAGAGACTCAACCAAGTTGCTGGGGATTGTGTACCAAAACATCTACACAGAACTGTACCACAAAGGTTAGTTGACAATGACAGGGCTAAGATTCTGTGGGAATTCCAGAACCAGACAGACAAGCAAATACTAGCCACTCAAACTGACATTTTGGTGGTAGACGATGAACAGAAGACTGCAGTGGTAGTAGATGTGACAATACCCAGTGACTATAACACCAAGAAGAAGGAACTGAAAAATTATACAAATACCAATGACTAAAAAGGAGCTAGAAAGGATATGGAAAGTGAATGAAGGAGCACTCAAGGCTGTAACCCCCAAGTTACGGGAGTGGCTTCAGCAGATTGAACATGTGAGATCTCTGTCCAGTAGAGTGTACGTCCAGAAACAGCTAAGATACTTTGCAGAACCCTTAGACTTTCAAGCCTCTAGTAGAGATCTAAGAATGAGAAATAAACAAAACTACCACCTTGATGGGCGAGAAAGTAAATATATGTTTTGTCCTGAGGAAGGTTCCAATGTGGAACTGAAATGTATGGTTTGCCTATAATGATTTAATAAAGAAGAAAATATTTTTGTGCTGGTATGATTCTTTTGCTATTTTTATATATTGTGTTACTGAGCACCAAGTAATAGAAGCTACTGATCTTGAAGTTGGAGTGCAGAGCTACTGGGACTATATATTTAAGGTGTCAAATATATATTTATAATATTTGCTAATAACAGATAAGGTCCCCTAACAGTAAAATTGCTGTTACAATTTTTAAAACACAGCAGGCAAAGTGTCATGGAGCTATTTCTCTAAAAGTTGCTAAGTAAAGTATAATATGATACAAGCCAACATAGCTAGATAGTTAGAAAGTTTCCAGTTAGTCTTCAATGCTTATTGTTTCTCCTTCTCTTTCAATTAAGGTGTCTTAGCTTGGGCTGACATGTCAAATAATAATTGACTACTCTGCGAGTGGTAGCCTGACGCTTATGAAAATAAATCTAAAATAGACAATAAAATATTAGCATAGAAACAAATTTTAGGAAACAAAAGATGAATGACTCATTTTTGCTTTTCAAGATTTTTTTTTTTAACAAAACTCATTTTTAACTCACATCTATTGTCACATGTAAAACCAGACAACTCGCAAACAATGTACTACACTGACATCTAGTGTTCAGAATGTGTCTCCAACCTTGAAATAGCACCAAACATCATGAATAGAAACATGGAAATATTCAAAATATCCTATTTAAAATGAAGAACATGGAAAATCTCTCAAAATAAATGTATAATCTGCTTTCCCAATAAATATATGGATAAACACAAACTAATGATTAGAAAATTTACATTTTAATAATTCCTACTGGAACCAAGCACAGTACTTGCATATCCATTTGTATAAAATACATGATTAAAGAAAAAAACTTGCATGTAACATGATCTAAAAGCAATAAAAGAATATACCTAACTTAACCACCATGAGCAGCTCAAATTAATTAAACACATATTTTGAATATGGAGCGTGTAATAAAATAATTACCAGTAAAATAAAACTTGTTTGTCTGTCCGTCTGTGTTTAACAATGTATTAACTACCCACTGACTTCACGTGGAAGGGGTTCCAATCACTTTTTTCCCACCATAAATGTATTGCTGCTGTGATATTAATAGAAAATCAAATATCTATTTTTTTTTTTTTTTTTAATTTTTTTTTTTATTATTTTTTTTTTTTGCAGTGCATATGGAATAACATACGTGCACGGGGTACCCCAAAGGCAATCCTCATGCTTTGCAAACATTAATAACAATGGAGTATACATTGGTACTTGCACATTTTTTAGTTAGGAGATGGAGTCATGTTTAACATAGATTAGTAACAGCTAGTATATGTTCATCATAGCTTATTTCGAGACATTCAGTCAGATATGCATAACTTCGGGTACTTAATGGTTGACAACTATTTGCGAGTTCAAAACAGGCTAAACCAACTGCGAGGGGTTAATAAAACTGGTATAGGTTTGAGTGCTGCGGGACAGAGTAATTTGCGTTAAAACTACAGTAGGGAGTCATATTTTCGATTAGGCATGTAGCCCCATGTAGCCAAGCGCAGCTAAGCGGAAAAAGGCCTTGACAGGGGTTAGGAGGCGGGCCTAGGAGGAAGTAAGCAAGGGAGTGGAGTTATGGGTAAGTGGGTTTGGTTATTTAAATGGGCAGCCATTTTAGTTAATTCATTTTAACTTCCTACCTGGTTAAGTTTGTGTTCGCTCCTGTGGGCACAGATTTGGCTTGGTAGGGTTTTTTCCTTTTTGTCTCCCTGCAGGGCCGATGGAGGAAGTGGAGCGACTGCTGGAGCGGATCCGGTCGGCGGCGAGGCACCAGGGGGCTGACTGGCTGAAGGCCCAGTTAGGCCCGGCCCTGGCGGCGGCGGAGGGCCAGGACGGCGGCGGACGACGGCCTGTTCGGGCCAGGAGGCCTCCGGAGCGGCTAAGCCCGGGTGTGGGACCCGGTGAAGACATCCCTGGTGGTCCGGGAGGCTCCGGTGCGGGCGGCAGCAGGCCCGGCAGCCGCGCGGTAGAGGCCCCGCCTCCCCGCGAGCGGCCGGAGCCTAGGACCAGTGCCCGGCGCCGGGGGGACGGTCGGGACGGGGCCGTCGCGGCTGCCGGGTCGGACGTGGCCGGGCGGTCCCCTGGAGGAGCGGGCAGCATGGAGCTGCGGCCCGGGAGGGCGCGCGCCCCGTCGGAGGCGGAGATCGGCGGGGCCGGGACCGGGAGGACACGTGGCCGGTTCCCGGCCCCAAAGGCAAGTGCAGGGGGCTCCGGCCGGGGCCCTCTTGGCGGGAAAAGTGCTGGGGGGGTCCTGTCAGGGGGCGGAGGGCGGAGGGCCCAAGTGGGGGGTGGGAAGGCCTCCCAGGGACCGCGGGTGGTGGATGGGGAGGGCATAGGGGTCATAGGTGGGGGGAGTAGTGGTAGGGGTGGGGGGGCTGTGGGTGAGGAGGGACTGCTGGGCTCCCCCAGTAGGGGAAAGGGGGCCTCCTTGGGCTCTGGGGCTAGGCCGGTGCGGGTAGGGTCGGGTAGGCCTGGTTTAGGGGTTGGGGGGGCCAGTCTGGTTGAGGGGGGTCTAGGTCCCCTTAGTCTGGGAGCCAGTTCAGGTGGGGGGTCGGGCTCTAGCCGGAGGGGTGAGCGTTTGGGGGTGCAGGGTAGTAGGGGGGGGGGGTCCGGTTCAGGGTCCTGTAGTGGTAGTCCCTCTCCGGTTCGGGAAGTAGAGCCACGGGGGGAGGAGGGGGAGGTCCCGGCAGCGCCGCTCCAGGTCAGGGAGCTCGGGAGAGAGCGGGTCTAGCGTCCCCAGGGGTGGTCGGCGGGGACGTATGCCCGGGGAAGACAGGAGGAGCCGTAGCCCTAGGGGCTCCCGCGCGCGGCGCGTGCAGGGGGCACAGCGGGAGGCTTTGGCAAGGGGCAGGCGCTCCCAGGGTCGAGACGGGGGGGATGCGAATACTCAGTGCACCCTACCCAGGACTTCTTCTCCTCTTTCCAGGTCACGGAGCTGTTCCATATCGACACGGGCAAGGCACCGGTTTGGCTCCCCGGTTGGCGAGGTATCGGCGGGAGTCGCTCTCCCTGGACATCGGGCAGTCGACGACGCAGCCCCTGCCGCGTCAGTTGCAGGGGGCTTGGCCGGTGAGTCTTGTGGGTCACTACACTCCAGTTCCTTGGTTAGCACACTGCAAGCACTGCTCCACTCGCTGGGGGCGGGGGGTGACACGGGGGGTGGCGTTGGTCGGGTTTGGGCCCCGGGGACGGAGGTCCCTGGTCCTAGTGGGGTTTCCGTGGGGCTTAGTTCGGGCGGGGACGTGGGGGTGGCGCCCGAGGCGATGGCGGCCGGGGGTGACAAGGCGGAACTGGCCGGGGGTATTCCGGATGCAGCGAGGCAGCACGCATACGTCTCGTTTGCGGGCCCCCTGGGGGTTCATCTGAAACAGGACGTGAAAGAGAAGCTCTGGAAAGGTGAGTTCTGCGAGATCTTCTCCCTGCTCCCCTTGGAGGACTTTATTGACCTCAAGGAGGAGGATAAAAAGGATGAAAAGAAGGAGGAGGAGGAGAAGAGGAAGCGGTATCGCAAGATTCCGAAATCCTTTGGCAACTGGTTACGGGCGTTTTGCGTGCTAGCCAGCGTGCTGGGGGAAAAATCGCCGGGATTATGCTCGTCCCTGTTCTGCTACCTGGACGGCATTTGGGAAGCATATCGCACCTATGGGGGGCTGGCATGGTGGCGCTACGATGAACAGTTCAGGCAGCGACTGGCGGCTAACCCGGGGATGAGGTGGGATCAGATGGATCTGCCCCTCTGGATGAAGCTAATGATGGCCCAGAAGGCGCAGCCCTTTCCAAACTCGGCCGGCGCGAAGGGGCAGTCCTGCCTCGTCGGCCGCTTTGCAAAAGGGCTTCTGCTGGCTCTACAATGAGGGCCAGTGCAAATGGGGAAACGCTTGTCGATTTAAGCATGAGTGCTCCGGTTGCGGGGGTGCTCATGGGCTCAATCGCTGTTTCAAAAAAGGGAAGGCGGGAACAGCCGGAGCGGCTGCCGGGGCCGGAGGGAATGCTTCCCCTGCCCCGGGGCTTCACGCCGGTGAGGCTAGACGCGATGGAGCCGTGGCTAAGCCGCTACGGTAACAGGACTGATGCCTCGGTACTTAGGGAAGGCTTCGGGCGGGGTTTCTTTATTCCCTTCCGGGAGCGGGGGGTTCGGGGGGGTTGCGCAACCTGAAGTCGGTGGCGGATTTCCCGGAGGTGGTACGGGAGAAACTAGACAAGGAGGTTGCGCTGGGGCGGATGGCGGGCCCGTTTGCGGTGCCCCCATTGGAGGACCTACGGGTTTCCCCTCTTGGGGTGGTGCCAAAGAAGGAGCCGGGGAAATTCCGGCTCATTCACCACCTCTCCTACCCAAAAGGGGAGTCGGTGAATGACGGTATTGATAAGGACCTATGCTCGGTCTCGTATGCATCATTCGACCGGGCGGTCGAGCTGGTTAAACGGGCCGGGCATGGGGCACTTATGGCAAAAGTGGATATTGAGGCGGCGTTTCGGCTGCTGCCAGTCCACCCGGACTGCCACCACCTGTTGGGATGTTTTTTCGAGGGAAAATATTTCGTGGACTTGTGCCTCCCTATGGGCTGTTCTATTTCATGCTCCTATTTCGAGAAATTTAGTACTTTTCTCGAATGGGTGGTGCGGGTCGAGGCGGGGAACCGTTCGGTGGTGCACTACCTGGACGATTTCTTTTGCGTGGGGCCGGCTGCCTCCTCGGCATGCCAGCAACTGCTTAGGACCGTGGAATGGGTGGCGGGCCACTTTGGGGTGCCGCTGGCAGCGGATAAGACGGAGGGCCCGACGACGTGCCTTAGTTTCTTGGGGTTAGAAATAGATTCTATCTTGGGTGAATGCCGACTGCCTCGGGACAAGTTGGAGGGGCTCAAGGGGGCGGTAGCTGCGGTGACCGTTGCGCGCAAAGTTACGCTGCGGCAACTGCAGTCGCTAATAGGGATGCTGAACTTTGCATGCCGTGTAATTCCTATGGGGAGGGTTTTCAGCCGCAGCCTGGCGGCTGCTACGGCAGGAGTTCGATCCCCGCATCATTTCATACGGGTGTCAGCAACCATGAGGGCTGATTTGGGCGTGTGGGATGCCTTCCTGCAGGATTTCAACGGGACGGTGTTTTTCAGGCGGGCGGGTAAGTCGGCGGCGGAGTTGGAGCTCTTCACGGATGCTTCGGGTAGTGTGGGCTTCGGGGCCTACTTTGGCGGGAGATGGTGCGCGGAGCGGTGGCCGGAGGCATGGGGGTCTAGCCCAGTCATGCGCAACCTGGCTTTTCTGGAATTATTCCCGTTGGTCGTTGCAATGGCACTATGGGGCGAGGGGCTCCGGGACCAGAAAGTGGTCTTTTTCTCGGACAACATGGCGGTGGTGCATGCGGTGAATAATCAATCGGCTGCCTCTAAGCCGGTGGTTAGGTTGCTGCGGCGCTTTGTGTTGATGTGTATGTCACGGAATGTTGTGTTTCGCGCGCGTCATGTCCCTGGGTACCTGAATGAGGTGGCTGACGCTCTGTCTCGTTTTCAGTGGTCCCGATTTTGGTCGATGGCGCCAGGAGCATTGAAGGAAGGGGAGGCTTGCCCGGACGAGATATGGCAGCTGGGAGCGTCCTGCTTGGGGGACTTGTGAAGGCTTCACTGGCACCGGCCACATGGGCCTCCTACAGTAAGGTCTGGGACTCTTGGGAACGATCATTAGACGGGTTGGAGCATGGCTTACGTGGGGATGCGCTGCGGGACGCTTTTCTATGGTACACCTGCCAATTGCTGGCAAAGGGGGCGTCCCCGGCAGTGGTCGACAGGTCCATGGCGGCAATGGCGTTCTGGTTCCGATGGCGCGGGTCGGAGGATCTGACTAAGACCTTCCTAGTACGGCAGGCGCTGAAGGGTTATCGAAAGGGCCGCAGGACCTGTGACTCTAGGCGCCCGGTGTCGGTACGGGTATTGGGGGATCTGGTGGGTCGGTTGCCGGAAATTTGTTTCAACGGGTTTGAGGTCTCTCTGTTCAGAGCGGCTTTTCTCTTGGCATTTTTCGGGGCGTTCCGCGTGGGGGAGCTGGTGAGTGCCAGTAGGGTGGTGCCCGGGGGTCTGCAGGCCTCAGGGGTTCGTGTTTTGGAGGGTAAGGTGGTTGTGCATCTGGGTAGTTCTAAGACGGACGTCCGTGGCGTGGGTAGGGACGTTACGCTATGGGCTCTGCCGGGCGCAGCATTGTGCCCGGTGGCTGCAGTGGCGGAGTACATGGCTCGGAGGCCGGCGGTGGGGGGTTCCTTCTTGGTACATGCGGATGGTTCTTCCCTGTCCCGGTTTCAGTTTACAAAGGTTTTTCGGGCCGGGCTAGGTAAGTTGGGGCTTCCGGCCGGACGTTTTGGTACTCACTCCTTTCGCATTGGGGCGGCCACGGAGGCTGCACGGTTGGGATTAGGAGATGAGGTCGTGAAGCGCATAGGGAGATGGGAGTCGGTGCGGTTCCGCTCATATGTGCGGTTGGGCTTATTGGAATAATAAAAAAATAAAAAAAAAATAAAAAAAAAGGTACATGTCTGGGTAGGTATATGTTTATATATGTGTATGTATAGATATGGTGCGGGGGTGGACATGGACGGAGGAGTCCTCTTTTGCCTTTCCCTCATGCTTGTTTTCTTCTTCTCCCCAGGACGGGTTGCTTGGATTGTGGGACATTCTTTTGTCTTCTGGGCCGAGAGGAGGGCCGCAGCTCGAATGCAGGGCCAGCAGCTGGGCTTTCCGAAGGACCAGTTGACAGTCCGATGGTTTGGGTACAGGGGATTTTGCTGGGGGGAGGTTTGTGGGGCAATGTTTAGGATGGTGGTGGGCGGGAGGACACCGGACATGGTGGTCCTTCATGCTGGGGGTAACGACTTGGGCCTCACGCCACAACGTCGGTTGGTAAAGTGGATGAAGCAGGACATCAACAAATTGAGGGACCTGCTTCCGGGGGTTATGTTAGTGTGGTCGGAGATTGTCCCAAGGCGTCGATGGCGGCACGCGCGGGATCCGGTGGCGATTGATCACTGCAGGAAAAAGGTGAACAGCTTAATGGCGAGCTTCGTTAGGAAGATGGGAGGTGTGGTGGTACGGCACAGCGAGTTGGAGGAGGGGTTGCCGGGGTACTACCGCTCGGACGGGGTTCACCTTTCGGAGGTGGGTTGGGATCTGCTCAACTTGGGTTGGCAGGTTGGTATGCAGCGGGCGCTGTTTCTTCGGGGTGGCGGAGCTCAGACGGCTTAAGGGGTCAAGGTCTGAGCTTATGGCGGGACGGGGAGCTGAAGGAGAGGAAATAGGCTCCCCAGGATGAACGTAATGGAAGACAAACAAGTGGTGGTCATTGGTGGTTGATAGGTTTCGAGTCCTGTCGGTGGCTCAGAACCTGGTGGGGTAGGGGTATCCGGGTATACCCCTGCCGTGGTTAATGGATGGTTGGCACTTTACATCGATTGGAATAATGTTGATGTATGTTATATATATATGTTTATTTATATGGGGGTCATTGCCCTTTATATGTTAATGGAAGGAATAGGATGCGAGGGCGGAGTATGGGGGGCAATGACCCATGTTTACTTGTTAAGTTATTATTATGATTATTATTGTTATTATTATTGTTTGCTAAATAAAGCTGTGGACATATTTCCCCATATCCTCTAGTATGTGCGTTATTGGGTTGGGTTATGGGGTGGTTGTCCTGGATTCCGACTGCCCAAAATGGCGACTATACACCTGTCATGTAGCCCCATGTAGCCAAGCGCAGCTAAGCGGAAAAAGGCCTTGACAGGGGTTAGGAGGCGGGCCTAGGAGGAAGTAAGCAAGGGAGTGGAGTTATGGGTAAGTGGGTTTGGTTATTTAAATGGGCAGCCATTTTAGTTAATTCATTTTAACTTCCTACCTGGTTAAGTTTGTCCCACCCACCCTCCCTGTTTTGTTATGTGTGGTTTTGTCCCGTTTTTTCACAGCGGCGGGACGGGGAGCTGAAGGAGAGGAAATAGGCTCCCCAGGATGAACGTAATGGAAGACAAACAAGTGGTGGTCATTGGTGGTTGATAGGTTTCGAGTCCTGTCGGTGGCTCAGAACCTGGTGGGGTAGGGGTATCCGGGTATACCCCTGCCGTGGTTAATGGATGGTTGGCACTTTACATCGATTGGAATAATGTTGATGTATGTTATATATATATGTTTATTTATATGGGGGTCATTGCCCTTTATATGTTAATGGAAGGAATAGGATGCGAGGGCGGAGTATGGGGGGCAATGACCCATGTTTACTTGTTAAGTTATTATTATGATTATTATTGTTATTATTATTGTTTGCTAAATAAAGCTGTGGACATATTTCCCCATATCCTCTAGTATGTGCGTTATTGGGTTGGGTTATGGGGTGGTTGTCCTGGATTCCGACTGCCCAAAATGGCGACTATACACCTGTCATGTGTATGGCTAAAACTATGGTGTGCTATGCAATACACGCTTGTTTAAGTAGTTCCTACATTTTCCTGTCTCATAATGGGTCTGAGCAGCTTGCTCTTGGGCTTAAATAGCACTGAAGGCTGGAGCTGCAGTGAGATGACCACAGTAAAGAGGTGCTGAAACATTGAAACAGCATATTAAGATAATGATAAAACTTATTTCTTATTGCTGGTCTGTCAGCCTGATCAACCCAGGGGGCCCCCTTGGGGTGGTGGATAAAGGCCTTATTAATCGAGAGCCAAGAAAAAAAAAAATATATATATATATATATATGTCGGCTATCAGGACTGCTGGTATAATCATATGAAAAGAAAAATAATAAAAATCAGCGCTTATAAGAAAAATATATTTGGTCATTAGTCCCCGAGAGTTCCACTTGTCAGCTCAGCTTAGCCTATGCCTGTGAGGGGAAGAGCCCAGTCCCGTCTTTGGGAGAGATGTCTTGTGCTTCCAGGCTTCCGGGTGGGTCGTAGGGTAAGGCCACTCACCAGGGTCGATGTCTCCACTGTTGCCTCAGGCGTGTCGGCTGGCTTACGTTTCAAAAGTGCCCGCTCGTGTGGCGCCTGCAGCTGATGCGGTGTGTGCTGCTTTACTCGCCACCTTTTGGGGGCCTTCCTCTTTACTGGGGCCATGGGCTGCCTCTGCAGGGTTGTAAACCGCTTGAGAAGGGAGTGTGTTATCGGCTGCTGTAGAGCCTTTCGGTGCGTCTGTTGTTGCTTCGGAATGGGTTCCCTGTTGGCTTTCTGGCCCGGTGGACTGTGTGCGTGCCGGTTAGATGCAGGGTAGGTGGTTGTGCCCGACGGGGCTCCCTGCACCCCTTCTCTTGTTCGCTTCAGTCCGCTCCTCTGTCCCCCAGCCCCCTCTGCTGCGCGTAATTCCAACTGCTCCCAGAATCTGGCGAGGATCTCGTCGAGGTGTAGCAGCATGCGATCGAGCGTGGCACAGCCATCTGGCATGGCCTGCCTCGTGTCACTTGTGGATTGTGACTCCGCCATTTTGAGTCGTATTATAGCCTCTCGCAGACCCGGTCGCTCGCTGTCCACAGGGTGGCTGCCTTTGTTTAATATGGACCGGGATGACCCCCGCCGGTCCAGGGGGGTGGGGGGTGGGGGGGGGAGTAGTTCTGTGCAGGGCGTCCACCTTCTGCTTGAGATCCCGGAGAGCGGCCGTCTCACCTGGACTCAGCTTCTTGTAGGCCGCAAGCCTCGTTTGGTCGGTCCAATGTTGTAGAAATCCGGGGGAGGTACCGTCTGGTGTAGCAGCCTCTCCCGGGTTTGATTAGTGTCAGCTGTGGCCCGTAAGTGCAGATTTTTAGGTGAAACACCCCATTATTCGTCCCCAGACGTGGGAGCTCATGCTGAACACGTCTGGGCTGCTTGGCTGCCAGGCCCCGCCCCCCCAAATATCTATTTTAATGTCAATTTAATTGGTTTTATTGGCATATATTTTGTGTAAAGCCCAGCATGAGGTGTGAATGCATCTCTATTTATGTTATTACATTTTACTTTAAAATTAAAAATAAGAAAAGGGCATTTAAAGCATTTAAATCGGACAAATCGGATGCATCTTATAAAAGATATAAGGAAGCAAATAATGCGTGTAAAAAGGCAATTAGACTTGCTAAACTTCAAAATGAAAAAATTGATAGCTAAAGAGAGCAAGACCAACCCCAAAGCATTTTTTAAGTACATAAATTCTAAAAAACCCAAAAATGAAAGTGTAGGTACACTAAAAACTGAAACGGGGGTGTTAGTTAATGAAGACCAGGAATTTTAAATAACTATTTCTCCTCCGTATATATTAAGGAAGAACCCATGGCAATAGATGTGCAAATTATTGCTACTAAAATCTTGAAGAATAATTGTAATTGGTTAACTCAAGACAAGGTGCTGAAGCAACTAAAGAAAGTTAATATAAACAAAGCTCCAGGGCCTGACGGTATCCATCCACGTGTACTTAAGGAACTAAGTGTAGAAATAAGTGAACCTCTGTTTTTAATCTTTCAAGATTCTTTTCTTTCAGGAAGTGTTCCGGAGGATTGGAGGAAGGCAGATGTGGTTCCTATATTCAAAAAGGGTTCAAAATCCTTGCCTGGAAATTATAGACCTGTGAGCTTAACTTCTGTGGCTGGTAAAATATTTGAAAGGTTATTAAGGGATAATATTCAAGAATTCCTTGAGAAGAACATGGTCATCAGCAAAAATCAGCACGGTTTTATGAAGCACAGGTCATGTCAAACTAACTTGATTGCGTTCTACGAAGAAGTAAGTAGAAGTATAGATCAGGGTGTTGCCGTGGATGTGATCTATTTGGATTTTGCCAAGGCATTTGATAGTTCCACACAATAGATTAGTGTTCAAACTCAAGGAAATTGGTCTAGATGAAAATGCTTGTTCTTGGGTAGAACATTGGCTTAAAAACAGAGTACAAAGAGTTGTCATTAATGGTAAATTTTCAAGCTGGACAGAGGTGGCAAGTGGTGTCCCTCAGGGGTCTGTTCTGGGACCCTTTCTATTTAACATGTGTATAAATGATCTTGAAGACAGCATTGAAAGTCATGTTTCAGTGTTTGCAGATGACACAAAACTTTGTAAAATAATACAATGTGAGCAAGATATTACTTTGCTGCAGAGGGATTTAGATAGACTGGGGGACTGGGCACTCAAATGGCAGATGAAATTTAATGTTGAAAAAGTTATGCACTTCGGCGTAAAGAATACACAAGCAACGTATACCCTTAAGGGAAGCGAATTAGGGATAACAACACACGAAAAGGACTTGGGAATTGGTATAGACAACAAACTATGCAACAATGTGCAATGTCAATCAGCAGTGGCCAAGGCCAGTAAGGTATTGTCATGCATGAAAAAGGGCATTCATTCTCGGGACGAGAATATAATTTTGCCTCTTTATAAATCATTGGTAAGACCCCATATTGAATATGCTGTGCAATTTTGGGCACCTGTTCTAAAGAAGGATATTATGGCACTAGAAAAAGTGCAGAGGCGGGCTACAAAATTAATAAAAGGAATGGAACATATCAGCTATGAAGAAAGGTTAACAAATTTAAACATATTTAGTTTAGAAAAACGTCGCCTGAGAGGGGATATGATAACATTATAGAAATATATTCGGGGCCAATACAAACCATTGTGTGGAAATCTATTCACAAACCGGACTTTACATAGGACACGAGGCCATGCGTTTAGACTGGAAGAAAGAAGATTTCATCTAAGGCAAAGGAAAGGTTTTTTTACTGTAAGAACAATCAGGATGTGGAATTCTCTGCCTGAAGAAGTGGTTTTATCAGAGTCCATACAGATGTTCAAACAGCTACTAGATGCATACTTGCAAAAACAGAATATTCAAGGATATAATCTTTCAATGTAGGGTAATAACTGCTTGATCCAAGGATAAATCTGACTGCCATTCTGGGGTCAAGAAGGAATTTTTTTCCTAGCTTGTTGCAAACTTGTGCTTCAAACTGGGTTTTTTTGCCTTCTTTTGGATCAACAGCAAAAAACAAATGTGAGGAAGGCTGAACTTGATGGACACAAGTCTCTTTTTAGCTATGTAACTATGTAACGTTATTGCTTTTATCCATTTACCTACATGATAATGTTTCTTTATCTCCTTTTTTTGCAAATTGAAACCAGATTGAATATGCAACTATAGATGTGTTCTCAGATTGAGTCAAAATATCCTTTTCAAACAGTTAATCTGTGTTATTTTGTAGGTAGCCATGGTCCTGGATCCCATTATCTTTTTGGTAGGAACTTGAGAGGTGATTGAGCTCACATAAATATAACTGGATGCAGCTATATTTATTATCGGCGAAGAGTTGTGGTACCGGAGCCAAATAACTTGGGGAGTATTTACCTAAATCAAATAGGGACCTTTGGTGTTCTATCTTTTAGCAAAATGGTTTTAATACGCAAGGACTTTATTAATGATCACCATGTTAGCAGATAAATGGTAAGGAGGTTAAAAATAAATGATCACCTTGGTTGCTACAGATCTCACAGCCCCCTTTAAATAAAAGATGATTTGGGACGTTAATTGTAATCGTTTTCCTGAGTCCACAGGAAACAGACCCCATATATTGTCTGTCCACCAGTATTGGATCTACTGGTAGGTCTGTATCACAATGTAAGGTAAATATTCAGGAAAAACAAATGACGGTGAAGATAATGTTTTGGTTGCAGTACTAAGATCATACAGGAGAGAGCAGGATGGCACAGTAGCAGTGCAGGTAGTGGGCTCAAGCCCTGCATGTTGTATTATATGCATCATAAAGATTTATTTTAACATTAAATTGTGTTTTTCTGTTTTATCAGAAATATCAACCTTATGGTTCTTGTTGATTTATTGTGTGTCATTCAAAAGCATCATGTGTAAGAAAACTAAGTATCCCGTATAACAATAACATAGCAAATTAACAGCGTCATGTAAGCCCAGCATATTTACACATATTGTAAGCCAAACTTTTAAAGTGTTTGTTCATTAACGAAAGTGGGAATTCACAGTAAATTCAAAGTGAATTTCAAATTTAAGGTGAAATTCACTTTGAAATCCCACTTTTGTAAATAACACTGTTTGTGTGTTGGACATGCCTGTAATACTGGCTTTACTTGCATAATCTCTACCCAGCTATAGGGCTCATGTCTGATAAGTTTCATAGTGCAGGTATCACATTTGGGTTTGCTCACCTGAGGATATGAAAAAATTGCTTTTTTTGTTCACTAAATATTGAATTATTGTAACCTAGAAAACATACCAAGAAGTAAATATTGAAGATTTTCAATACCCAAAGTGAGTTGAGGAGTTTATTACCAAAGCAGCTTATGTTTGCACAACTTTGCAAACTAGCATTTTCATTCACTACTATTTAGCATCTAGCCGTCTTCTGCACAGATGCTCCAAATGAATCAAATTCCTTTTAATTTCTGTCCAAACAAATCGATCTGGGATTTACCAGTCGAGTCTTATTCAGTTAATAAGATTCCACTGGTTAAATCCCAGATGGTTTGATTCCTTCGAGTACAAATTCAAAGGCATTTGATTCAACTGTAGTAGCTTAAAAACAAGTCAAGTGTTCAGTGGATAAACCCCATTGTTTTTTGGCTAAGAACGCTGGGTAGATATCAGTGTGGGTGCATAATATGGAGAAGTTAAAACCATAACTAACTTGGTATAAAGTCTTGTCAAGTACAGCTCTCCCAGACTGCAAGAGGTACTGAAGTTAAATACATCCCACATGTCTTTCTTCCCCCAGATGCCCTGGATGGGTAGTTTTGACTTTCTACTTTTCTCTATCTTGTCTTTAATAATTATTGATTGTTTTTCATTTAAAACATGCTTGTGACAAGAATGAGAAAAAGTATGGATGAGAGCCATGAACCAAATAACACACGAACAATTCCTGTGTTAAAGCATTATGGATATATCCAAAGAAAGAATATACAAAATATAGGCGGCTCCAAGAACCACTATAGTATAAGACCACAGGAGATCACTCTCCAAAAGCTGGTTCTCCTCACTACATGATCCACAATCTGCAACGCAAACTAAATAAAGCCATAGAGGTTTTATTTGGATGCAAAACAATGCAAGAGAATCTATACTCCAGAATTTAATGCACAAACGTCCAAATTCCAGAACTGAGATGTATTCCAGCAAAGTGCAAAAATAGTACAGTGGTGAGCACTCGCTAAAACTTAATATGCTTTCTGTATTAAGCACTAAGTCATTATTGGTATAGTGGTTCAATATATATGCAATATATCTTGGATTGAAGTCTCAGCAAAAATTCAATCCCATTTACATGAAACCAGCTAAAAGGTAAGCTGATTATAATTATGAATGAAAGTGATAAGAGTAGGAATAAATGGAACTGGTACGTGGTGAGAGATTGGGTCCTACAGACACATCGACACAGGATGAATTAAACTGATTTTTTTTAATAAGAGGATAATAGGATAGTTACTGGCACTTT